CTTTGTATATGTACGGTTGTACCAAAAGCCAAGTTGAAACAGTATAGAACTTGGATGTGTGCAGTAATGAAACTATATTTTAAGAGTTTAAGGTATAGTTATACTGTGAAACAATCTGGTTTAGTTTTATTTGCTATAACAACTTGGACGGAAATCTTATCTTTATGTGCTTTACTCTTGAGATAAAGTGGATAATTTAGTATCAACGTTAAACACCCGCTGTATATCACCGGGTAATGGATACAGCCCATAAAATATGTTTTTATTTTTTTCTATCCGGTCGAATGACAAAGCAAGTTGTGGTTTAAGTGTATTGTGGGGTATTATATGTACGTTTTACACAGTCATGACAAATGTTGCGTTTGCAGTTAAGTTAAAATATATGAGCCGCGCCACGACAAAACCAACATACTGGGTTTGCGACCAGCATGGATCTAGACCAGCCTGCGCATCCGCGCAGTCTGATCAGTATCCATGCTGTTCGCTATCAGATTCTCTACTTGTTATAGAGTTGTAAGCGAACAGCATGGATCCTGATCAGACTGCGCGGATGCGCAGGCTGGTCTTGACCCATGCTGGTCGCAAACCCACTATGTTGGTTTTGTCGTGACGCGGCTCAATTATTAAAACTCATCGGTATCAGCTGATTTAGTGTTTTAAATGATTGACGGTATTATTAATTTATTATCATCCCCACCCCCTCCAAAAAAGCAGCAACGATTACGAATATCCAATGCAGTTTGTGCATCTGATGGCATCAAAGTTATTGTCCTTATTGAACACCATACAAAACTTTCCAATTTTATCCCAGGTTTCTTGTTTATAGATAATGACCCTGATAGACCGTCGTACAAAACATGACCGTTTATCAAGATAAGCAGCTAAATTTAGGACCAGTGGCAAATGGTAATAGATAGTGCTGTGAGTGGCAATGACTCGTCCCCGCAAGCATTGAGCCAGGCCAGTCTGCTTTATTTGTGCAGTCAAATGCTAGGTGATCATATCATTTTGTTTTTGAAAATATTCCAAAATCTAAGCCCCTTATCGATTAATTACACACATTTAATAGTGTATGTATTTTTAATTAGCATGAGTAGTCCATATGTTGTGTAAATTTCACACGTACAATATAAACAAAACTATTTACCTCAAACAAAGAAACTGTTACTGAAATTCTTTAACAAATAATTGAAGCGTAAATATTTAACGTTTACGTACCCTCGGAGGACATGTTCGCAATAAAATCCCCCTTTTTGACTGAAAAGAAAAACTAGACTCCGTGTTATAAATGTTTAAACATGAACATGCAATTCATATAAAAATGTACTACAATTTAACCCGTCTACTACAAATCGATTAACTCATAGCCCTGTCACTTTATCATTCTCAGTCGAATAGGTAGTAGCTATTTTAAGTTCATGTATAATAAATAGCTAGGTTATACCTGAAATATCTTGATTAACGCTAATTTAAACTATTTATGTTTTGTTACAACAATTGAATAGAAGTCACAAAATAGATGGCTTTTATATTTTAAGCTAATTATCTTTTCAAATGAAAAGTTATTTTGTGTGAGATGACCTAGATAAACGCATATAACTTTATGATACACGTATACAACTTGAGTTACGATTATTGACAAAGCTGGTGAGCACTACTCCAATGCAATCACATCATATCTCGGTCCTTTCCGTCAAACTTCGGATTTCGGATGATCCGATTGCACTCCAGTGCTCTGTATGGCAAGTACGAGTATACATTTTTATACACTTAGGGCATCTAATTATGGAAAGCGGTATGGGACCCTTCCGCCGTTACTATATAATTCAATGTAAATTTCTAATGACGGAAATCCGCCGTTAGAAATACCCGCTCCGCCATAAGCTATCTATTTCGTCGGTATACTTGTCCGGCCGAAAGATTCCGCTGTTAAAATGAAACTGACGGAAATCTGTCGTTTAAATACCCGCCCCGGCGTTATAAATACCCGCCCCGCCGTTAGATATATCCATAATCCCATAATTAACAGTGGATTATGGATATATCAAAAGCGTTTTATGGTTGGTGTCTTATTACAGTTTCCAAACAGTTGCTCATTGGCAAATGACCTGAGCAATATTTTGCTCTTTTTTGCATTCTTTGCGATTAGTATTTTCGAAGAGATTTAATGTTTTGTATCGAAGTCAAAATACCACTCACTTTGCTGCCTTTATCACTATCTATTTCTCTTTGAATGCTATTTTCTTCATGTGATTTAAGCATCTTACACGGTCTAAATCCATTATTACAACATTATAAAACAAAGCCACGTTTATCTTTCCCACTGAAGGAAACATTTATTCATTTCTAAGGTATAATGTGCCTTTAAAAATACACACACCGTCATGAGCATCTTAGTGTAATATTTGAAGAATTCTCCAGCACTGAATAACTTTGTGTTAAATTATTATAGACTCTTAAAGTTGACAACCGGTGCCCCGACTTTCCGAAAAAAGTAGTTCTTCGTCTCTAAATCTAAATATGTCTGATAGGTGTTGAAATGTTGTTTTTTTTACTTAAAATATACCTAAATCAACCCTTATATAGTGTTAACTCGTGAATGCTTCTGTGTGGTGTTGAAGTCACAACTTATTTTTAGCCAATGAAGATTTCGTTTCAATTCAGTGTAGACAGCAACATAAACAAAGTTACATAGACCATTTCACTACGCGGTCGTTGCTCTGAAAAAACGATCGGAAGAAGTATTTTCTCGCGCATGCGCAATCGTATAAAGCACAGGAACATTGCCCTTCAAAGAAAAGTAGTAGAAGTTCATAAACAATTCCGAGTAAGTTTAAGGTAAAAATTCGTAACAGATGTAAATGCACGTCACACTGTTTGTCTGTTCACAAAATTGATGAGATTGTAATAATTATGTAACAAGTCCTTTAATAACGAATTTCATAATTTTACGTGATAAACTGTGTCAACAGTCATAATACGAAAACGTCCCGGTTTCTTATGTCTGTTAAAAATATCAATTCACGTTTTACGTACTTATCACAAAATTACATTTCCTGTGTGACGTAACTTGAAATCTTGTCTTTCAAAATCTTTAAGTATGATAAAATGTAATCTTTCGTTATAGTTTTGCCCTACGCAGAATGCGCATGCGCGAAAGGCAACATCCGTTACTTTAGAAAATCGTATTGTAAAAAGGTCTTTATCCACGAAATGATAATTAATCTTTATACAAAATGAATATTTCACCTTGTGAACACCAAAAGTTCATATTTCACTCGTGGCTGCGCCACTCGTGAAATATACCTTTTGGTGCTCACTCGTGAAATATATTTCGATCTTACACTGAACTTAACAAATATCCTCTTTATATTTTACCTTTATATAGGATTGATTATGGGGAGAGCGAAATTTTACTGTCTTATTTCTATTTCAGATCATGTTTAAACCGTGGAAAGTGTGAAAATAAATTTCACGTCATTCATTATTATTACCCCTCATTTTTTTCGTAATCCTAATTTCCCATAGGCCTCTGGGAGTTATTTTTACTGTTAATGCAAGTGTACCACGTGACTAAGAATTTTGTATTGTTACATACGTAACAGTATTTTTAACAGTATAAAATCTGGTCACGTGGTCTATTTTCTAAATAAAATGAAATAAAATGGCCGCCATTTTTTTCTCGATTCATTCTTATTTTCAACGTTTAACCCCGATAGGACATCAATTTCTTCTCTGGAGTAACTATGACAGTTGTTTGCAACCTGGTGTGCTTTTCGCGTATAAAATATCTTTTTTGTTGAATAGTCAAAGAGTGAACATCCGTTTTCAACGGAAGAAATGTAAATAATTATGTGTCAAACTAGAACATGCAGACGATTTAAGCATGCAACAAAGGATTATTTAACAATTTTAATCAGTGAAACGTTAAAAATATGGTGGACAGACATAGGATATCATCGTTATTTTGTCAAAAAAAATGCTAAGAATATTCTGGAAACAGAAGGATCAGATTTCACAGATCATAGCCTCGTTGTACCATCTCTCGAACAATAATTTCACTTTACTGTAATTATTTGTAGGATGTTTAGTGTCTTTAAACTTAGTAAAGTTCTTGATTGTAGTGGCATGTATTGTGTCCGTTTTGACCTACTTAAAATTTGTCAATATGACCTTTAACAAGAGCCACCGCCGGGCGGGGGCAACGCTCGACTTTTTACTTTCTCTAAAAGCAAACAAAGAAATGTTTGAACAAAATCTTAACGTTTCCTTTTTATGAAATTAATCGGTCTGTCTTGTCACATTAGTTTTGTGTTGAAACACGCAATTCTATCAATAGAAAACTATATAAATAGAAACACGCAATACTATAAATAGAAACACGCAATTCTATAAATAGAAAATTTTATAAATAGATACACCTGGTGGAGTCACGTGGTGACACGTGGTGGTGTCACGTGGTTGACACATGGTGTCACGTGGTGGTGTCACATGGTGGAGTCACGTGGTGGAGTCACGTGGTGAAGTCAAGTGGTGAAGTCACGTGGTGGTGTCACGTGGTGGTGTCACGTGTGGTGAAGTCACGTGGTGGTGTCACATTGTGGTGTCACATGGTGGTGTCATATGGTGGAGTCATATGGTGGATGTCTATTGGTATATATATATATATATATATATCGCCTATTTTTTAATTGATTGATTTATTGGTGTGTGTATATATATATATATATATATATATATATATATATATATATATATATATATATATATATATATATACACCAATAAATCAATCAATTAAAAAATAAAGATCGCAATACTAAATAAGACGTGGCGTTGTCTAAGTATGTGCTTCCGATTCATTTCCGACGGTATTCATGTAAACTTGTACTAACCTTAGTTTTCTTTAGTCTGCTAGGTTGCGAGGCTGCTAGACTGCTAACTTCACAAATTTCGAAGCGTTAAAATTAAAAAAAATAAAGTTCAATATATTAAAAAATAAAGATCGCGATACTGAAATAAGACGTGGAATGATCTAAGTATGTGCTACCGATTCACTTCCGATTGTTTTCAAGTTTGTACTATCCTTAGTTTTCTTGAGGCTGTTAGGCTGTTAGGCTGCCAACTATCGGCTACTAGGCTGCCAACTTCAGGCTGCTAGGCTGCCAACTTCACGAACATCTTGAAACTTCTATACTGTAACCGGAAAACGCGATACTGTAACACGTTCCCTACGTTGATAATGTATAACCAAGCCTATGTAAACATGGAAGTTATTAGCATTGAAAGGCGGCGTTTTTGTCATTGACAACCTTTTCCACATAACTTATAAATGGACCTGAATATTATACATAAAAGGAAAAAAGGAAAACATTAGAACTGTGTTTAAGCTTTGATGTAAAGTTATATGTTTAAATAGACTGTGACACGAGATTGGGACAGCTTTATTGGTGAATAGATCAGTTCAGATAACATATTGAACACATTTTCTACAAAATGGCTGCTGGCAGTCAAATAGATACAGATATTCTTTCAGATGAAATATTTGATGTATTATGTTCAATGTGTAAAAATAAAGGAAATAATACTGAAGGTGAAAAATTCTGTGTAGATTGTCACGATTACTTTTGTAGAACTTGTGTTAAAGTTCACAATGAAGTACCTGTATTAGTTGGTCACAAGGTGCTGGATAAATCTCAAGTTAAGTCAGGAACCAGCAAAGGTCTGCCGAGGGCACCAACAGAGAGATGTGACAGACACAGTCATAAACACATTGATATGTACTGTCAGAACCATGATAATGTTGGCTGTTCTACATGTATGGCAGTTGATCACAGGTAAAATTTACTCCATAAACAAAGATTATTTTCTCAATTAATATATAGAATATTTAATAGGTACTAAAACGTCATTACAAAATATTCTTTATCACATAAACCGCGGCGCAGGAGTGTATTAAAGCCATTTATTAAAAACTATAATGACACTAGTGTAATAACACTTTGACGTGACGTCATTTGTGCTACATAAGCCTAGCGTTAAAGCGCGCTAGCATTACATAATAGGCACGTCATTGAAAAATTATTCATTTTAACAGTTTACCGTTCTCACTTTATATATCTGATTAATAGAATATTATATTCGTGTAGATTTTATACTATTTATTGAACTCGTTGAATAAAACAATATCATGCTCGCCAGAGGCTCGCATAATATGATTTTATTCAACTCGTTCAATAAATTTAGTATTAAACTACACTCATTCAATATACTCTTTATCTTAGATACTGGTTTGATACAGACAATAACATATTATCTCATCAGTCGTCTTATAGCCTCATATATTAATTGTCTGAAAATTTTGTCAGATTATGCAAGGACACATTCTACATACCAGAATTTATCCAAAACACTGCTTACCAAGTTACACCCAGAGAAATTCAAACAAAGCTCAAGGAAATAGCCAAGAACCTCGCTAAACAAGCTGATAGATTTAAACAGGATAAACAAAGGCTTTTAAAGAGGAAAGCAGTACTATTGGCTGATATAAGAAAATTACGTCAAGAAATCAATGACTATCTTGATAAGTTGGAGAAAAGTTCTATTGATGAAATGGAAGATAAAGTCAAAATTCTCGAAGACAATATTGAAGATGGTGTTAAACAGCTACAAGTAAACAGGTCAAGGATTACATCAGCTACTGATAAATTAGCATCTACAAACACAAATCAAGCTGAAGTGTTTGTTTATGTTAAGATGGCAGAGGATGCTGCAAATGCTGCCAAGAATTACATGGAGCATGCCAACAATAGATGTGCATTAGCAGACATAGAGTTTGAACCAGATAGAACAATTCTTACACAGTTAGAACACAAGAAAACCCTGGGTACACTTAAAGAGAAACCTACAAAGACTTCTGCCAATTTATTTCAGATTAAAAGAAATAAATCATATGATGTAAAAATTCAGTCTGATAAAAAACAAAGATATGTCATGAGTGCCTGCTGTTTAGAAGATGGTACAATTATTCTAGCTGATTACAATAACAAGAAGCTTAAACGGTTACACAGTTATAACTATACTGTCACAGACTACTGTGATCTACCTGGAATGCCACGTCAAGTGTGTATGATCAATAACACACAAGTAGCAGTGTCATCAGAGAAGGGCGTTCATCTCGTTTCTCTAGAAAGAAAAATGAAAACAACAAACACGATAAATACTGATTTTGTATGTTATGGTCTTGCATATGCAAACAATGATTTATATATTTCAGATAATGATACATCAGTATATATGTATACAATGTCTGGTAGGAAGCTTACACAGTTCAGTAAGGATCAATCAGGACAAAAGCTGTTCTCTAACATACAAAGTATAGCTGTCAGTAAGGATGCTACAAGGATTTATGTTGGTGATTTAGATAAAGGACTTATAGTACTGGACAACAATGGTCAGGTTATTTCATCATTCAATGATAAAGAATTAAACAGGGCTACATGTTGTTACCTCACTGAAGCAGATAGTGTGCTGGTATCCGGATGTGGCTCCAATAATGTTTTACAGTTTACATCTGATGGTGAGCTGATGGGAGAGGTTATAAAAGCAGATAGTAGTAAAGAGCGAATTGAGTTAGTCTGTTGTAATCAACAAATGACAAAGATGTGTATAAGTAGATGGGAAGATGACAACATTGAAGTGTATGATATCTAGCATGTTAAGGAAGTGAATACAAAAACACTTTCGATAAAAGTAAAATAATATAAGAACTATACATTGATTCATATGTGAAATACAACATTCGAACATTAAAAGAAAAACACACTTAATAACCAGTAATGATACTGGTTTAAATTGTGAATATACATGAATTATGTTGCAAACAAATTCATCTGATTTGTCATGTACATTATAAATAGTTGCATTATGATTTAATACAAAACTTATTTATATTTTGTAAATAGTATATTGTGTAAATGAGATGGTGTTGTGTGAAATGAATGTATAATAAAAAAATTCTATGATTTATATTGAGAATGATTAATTTTTACTACTTAGTGGCGTTATTGTAAGTGATTTCCTCTTTTTCGACTTAATACTACTTAAAAGCCCATTATGCCTATAAACGAATAATAATTTCCTTCTTAAGAAAAGAACAAAACTGGTTTCATAACGTTAATATAAATGTGTAAGTGCTCCTTAAATGTTGTTTCCTTGAAGAAATGTGAACAACTGAAAGTGAAATTGAAGGCCAATGAACATCATTTTTTAGAAATTATAACAAAACAAAAAACTGTAAAGATCTTTTGAGGAATAAATAAGCATTTCTTAGGCAAAATGGGAATTTAAAGTATTCAGTCAATTTCAAACAGGATGGCATTCATATTTTTGCTGCAAAAAAAACAGAACAAGAAAGAGATATATAACCTATGAAACAATATGTTACTAATATATGGAAAGATAATAAAGTTTTAATTGACTCGAACACATCTTTTAGTAGTCCTGACATAAATGTACATACCCATGAGATTTAAAAACTGACAAAGGCATGTAAGAGGGTTTTATTTAAAGAACAACGAAATTATCAAAATACAAAAATCCACTACCGGTTAGAACCCAAGCAACATACTGAAAGGCTATGCCCGTGTGGAAAACATGAATGAACTTAAATCTTTTGAGTTTTAGTTTGTCGTATAACGTGATACGTTTCTCTGTCTAAGGAAATTATGTTCATACAAATATAACAATTTTCCAAGTTCCAAGTTAAATATGAAAAAAATCATTGAAACCCAGGCCTTAGACTTATAAATCATATCACATATAAAGTATGTGTCTAATATGGACATATATTTGAAATTAAAGTAAATCCATGAATTATAGAATAAATACGTAAAATTTAAGTTTAAGGGGAAGATAATTTTGGAAAGTTATGGAAAACAAAATTCTAAGTTAATTCTGATAATTTTGATGCTAGAGTTGTGAACCATGTCACATATGAGGTGGTTTATGATAAAAAATATATATTTGAAGAGCGAAGTAAATACTTAAATAAGTAAAGAAATTATATTGAAAGAGATTTTACTGCGTACAAACTTTTATCTGAAATCTGGACGCGGTCCGTGGCACTGGCTGAGTAGGACAGCTCTCAATTTACTACATAGAGCCGAGCTTAAAACGATTTGCATAATCACATTTACCCAAGAGATCTATCCACCACTTCTACTTACAAATTTTTTGTTGATACCTTTAGAAGATTCAGCGTTATGTCCCGAAAAAGAAAAGTGTCACACTGTTGGAATGGAAATTATTTGACCAGTCAGAAAGCTTGTGTTAAAATTCGTCTTACTGCAACATGAAACATTGACCTATTGGTGCTTTTGGTGCAATTAAAATTAGATAAACATGCTGTCATCTGACTAACAAGTACAACATGTACAAATAAGCAATTCCTACTTAAACGGAAGGACTTTCTACAGATACAATTATTATTGTTAAAGATATGTACATGTCTTACTCAAACAGTAACCCGTTAAGTCACATATGTTAAGTGTCACAAATCGAACAACTCGAAGTGACATCGCGACAATTCGAAGTGACATAGCGACAATGTAATACGACACTCGACAATGCAAAGCGACATCGCGATTTCTCGTGCTTTTATAGGCGACACATTATAGTGGATATCGTGACATTGTCGTTTAAGATGTGGCCGTAGTTTGCAAAACGCATCAGTGTAAGAGCTGTTGCATTTCATCTGAATTTGTTCAGTCTATCTATTTGTTAATCTTTAAAAACTAGAAGACAGTTAATTTTGAAGAAATTTAAAAGATAATTACCCTTTAATTCTTTTTTCTTTTGCAATGATTGGGATGGTTCTGTGCGGACATAATTCTGGCTTCCAAAACTTTAATATCCACTTTTATGTAGAATAAGTAGAGCGAGGTGCACTTTTTAACACCCCCAGTAATGCTTGACAATAATTGATAACAAGTATACAGTTACCAGAACAAGCATTCTTGCATATCAGACTGGTGTTTCCTTTGGTTATACCCATGCCGGAAATCTCAACTGGCAAGGGGTACCAAATGAGTGGCGTGCTATCCAATGACACTATGGAAAAATTGTTTCATTAAGATAAATGATTTTAAATATGAAAATGGTAGATTATGCAACAAAAATATCTGACAAATGTTAGCAGTTCAGATCGGACTCGGCGGGTCCCTTTGGCGCGGATATTCAGATCTGAACCGCAGATGACAGATATAATTTTTATATTTGTTAACAACTTGAAAGTGTTGAGAAATCAATGTTTCTTGCTCTGATTAGCCATATGAATCTGGAACATAAACTGATTTCATTTTATGTCCCTGTACAGACCAAGTTGATAGAAAGTTCATGCAAAAGACAAAAAGAGGTATATTTTTACCTCTAGCGACATAAGGAACAAACCTGACTAAACTAAGTGAAATTGAAAGAAGACCACCCGTGGATTATACAGGAAAATGTGTTGTGCAAATGTCAAACACATGTTCATAAAACTCATGAAAATGAACAATCTAAGGACACTTAAAGTTTTGCTGATGATCCATACATTAATTCCAACAAGATCGTGTTCAACCCGTTACCTGCTGAATTTCTTAAAAGAACTTGTCCAGCCTTCATTTACTTTCCAACTTTCGGGATATCAAGATAAAACATTTAAGTAAGTCAGCCACCAGTAAAGGGCCTAGTCAGTCTGCATGGTTGTGCAGGCTGACTTGGCTCTAAACTGATGGCAAAGGCTAATCACTTTCGGTTCCAGCAGGGTAATGGTTAGTGCATCTCAACTGTCATGCATCTGAACGAAATTGATCAAATTTATATTAGCACAGTTCCTACAGTGCGGTCTTTAAAATGTAACTCACAGTGACCCTCCATAAAGAGACCTATTATGCTGATGTTTTGATTCTATTCTTGAAGGGACAAACAAATACTATTTGGATATTAACCTAGATAGTAGACTATCGGATAATTCTAGAGATATAGCCAAGTGAAGATCCATCAATTTGTTTAGGGGATGTTTGAACTTGTTTCTAAGATAAGGTTAGACAGATTCAGTACAGCCTCTACAGAGCTACATCCTTTGCGAAATGGGAGAGAAATCTATTGCACACAAAGCATAGAGATGGCCCTCGTGAGCAGAGCGATAAAATTTGAGCCGTGGGTCACGAGAACCAACATTTCTTAATGACGCGCTCTTTTCCAATCAGCGCTTTGCAGTTTACATTCTATCATTTTTCAGACATTTGTCAGAATAAGTATTTAAATCGTTGTAATATCTGTATTTATGAACATGTCAAATGCATACTGATAATACGGTCAATGAGCAGTACTTGTAAAGCATTGGTAGATATATGACAGCGTTATTAACATGTACAAACGGCAATTAGACTAACAATTAGTTAGGTTAATTGCCGTTTGTACATGCTAAGGACGCTGTGAACGGTTTGACCCATTTTACAGACTTTATTCATACTGTCAAACCGTTGGAAATAGACATCGCCCGTCCAAAATTATCTTGATGTATCTTTGACAAGTCAATTAGTTGGACTAAAAGACAATATGCATTAAAATATCTATTTTTTGTACAAAGATATGCAACACAATACGGTCAGTTAAGCTTGGTTTGTTTTTGTCAAATCGGTGTTATAGTTTATACTTATAAGTGAAAGTCTGGGTTTTTATTTAGTGAGATTAAACCCATATTACTCAGAGTATATCACTCTTAGTGTTGTAAATATAGCTTTGCCGATTTCTTTTCTTTTTCTGTGACCTGTGTAGTAATTTATGATTCCGTAAATGTATTGTGTATCTTGTTCTGTAAAGTATATTTCTCAGTTCGAAGACAATTACTGTACTAAAGAAATAAATAAAAAAAATAAAACAGCACTGCAATTATAACGTCATTCCGCAGTAATACTCCTTTTTAAGTAACATCTGTGCTGGTAAACTTGTTCGGGTTACCTTGAAACCCTGACAAAACACTTGCTCAACTATATTTCAAGTACCGTAAGAAAGAGAATTTGAAGGAAAATTATTGTTGACAAATCCAATTTCATCTATTCAAAGAACTCTTGATAACATGAAACTTTTGGTTGTTATTTTATTTCCAGTGTCAAGAAGTTTTCCAAGTATTTCTCTTTATCCGTTATAACATGTCGCGGCTGATATATATAAATCAGAAGTAAATAGAATAAGGAACATAAAACGATAAAACAAGTGGATATCATTGTTTATATTGTTTAAAATAACGGACACTCCAAATAAGATAGTTGTTCTGCGTAGTGGACATCTGTGTAAGATACTTGAAGATGTTGAAATACTGACATGCTTTATATAAAATTAAGGGGAAAAATAAACCGGAATAATTTTGTATTGTTGTATAATTATATTTATTGCTGTTAAACTCGTTCATTGAAAGTGCCAGTTTTGTCACAAGACTAGTGGTTCTGAGTACATGACATCTTAAGTTGTTTGCACAAAGCGGGAAATGGATGATCAGGTAAAACACCTATTCTCACAAGATAGGCCCAAGTTTGAAATTTGAGTGTCTCTTGACAAAAGTTAAAACATATACAATTATACAGTTGAGTTTTGTTATTTTTTCAACATTACATGGTTCCTTCTGTTAAAACATATTCACAATAGATGTCAGAAACTGGTATTTAGAAAAAGAAATGAACAAATAATATCAATTTAAAAGAAAAATACGCTGTCTCTGTAAAGGGTTACATGATTTAACACATAAGTGCTGCATCAATTTGTTAAAAAATGAACATATCTTTTTAATTTTTGTTTCACGACTTGTTGAAGTTTGAAAATTAAAAGAATTTCTGAGTGAAGCTCTTTGCATTTTTCGTTATAAAATAAAACTTTCTTGTCTCCAAATCCAATGTAATCTACGTTACTTAGTTTGCGCACAAAAAATACACAGGCAATAAACACATTAAAAGGTGTTTAAACAGATGAAAATACTAACAAAACATAGTATAAACGAAACGCGATACAATGATTAACTCATCTCATAAAAAAAACATCACACCAGAAACACAAACTTTATATTTGTAAAGTAAATTTAAGAATGTAATCTACGTTACTGCTATTACTCAAATATTGTGACATAGGGTGCTCTTTATAGACTATTATCAATTAGATTAGACTTGTTAAACATTCAATATTTCTTTATTTTGTAAAAGTTGATTGTTTGTAAAAAAATTCATGCTCATGACAATAAAAATGTAATCTACGAGATGTAATCAACGTTACCACGGTTTTTCAATTTCTGCAAATAATTTGATTTTAATGTCCGAGATAATGTTCAGCTGTTTCAAGGTTCCGTTATATATACTTCTAGATCAATATACACATAGTTTATTTCCCTTTATTTCAAATTTGCCACTTATTCCGCCATTTGCATTTGCAATTTCCGCGTAGAAACACTATATTACTGAGTTCCAGTTATCTTCAGGAAAGTAAAACAAGGTAAGTGATAAAATGTTTTTTATTATAGTTTTAAGATTATAATTGAATTATACATCTTTAATTTCAATGAAATTAATCTTGTACACTTATAATTCAAACATTTATTGCATACATTAGTTACATCATGGCCCACTAAGATTATAACAAATCCTTTTTTTGGTCTCCATTTTTACTTACCAAAAGATTTTGTTCATAAAGTTTTTTATCATAACAGATCTACACAGATACATGTATGTTATCTGTGTTATACCAGATCATCTAAGATTTAAAATTTATAAAGGTGTAACAAATGTGATACCAATGTTGGTAACGTAGATTACAAAAAAAATCAACTTGTGATATCTGCAACACCAATAAGTAGTTCTTCTCCAAATATTTGACATGTTCCTATATTGTAGATCATTATATGGTAGTGTAATGTAATAATAAAGTTTATTCCTGGAGAAAAAACTGTAATTTAGGCAAAAATAAATGGTTTCTAAAAATGGTAACGTTGATTACAAAATAAGTAACGTAGATTACTTTTTCTTTGTTTCAGCAAGTATGGGTATATCATATGCTGAAATACAGCGAGCCTTTTGTGGGAGGAAAAAATCAACATAAGGAGTAAAATAACTTGAAAAAAAGAACGAAAAAGAACAAAATCATACTGAGCAACAACAGTGAAAAGATAAAAGGGGGGGGGGGGGGGCTTTAGCGACCAGAACATAGAATGTCAGAAAAAATGTCCAGAAATTGACACAGAATGAAAGAGCTTAAGACTCAAATACAAGTAAATAAATTAATTGGTATGGTTGTGTTCAAGATGAAGACAGACTGATTGTCGATGATGAAAATGGTGTACGTTCAAGCACCCGGAAACACGAAAATAGTACTTAGGCACATTGGTACATTGGACTGATTGAAAAGGTTGTCATAGCTGATGTCGATTTTCTTGTTTCATACTAGCAAAATCGAAAATGTTAAGGGGTCAAAGCACCAACTTTCAATTGGCCGAACAATGCCGACAAGATTTGTGTCAAGTTAGAAAGACGGTTTTTCTGTCATAGATGAGTCATCCAAAGTTAGTTGTTATGTGAGCTCTTTCAGGTTAAAAGAGGACGAGATAAGATCAATTTAATGCGCGACATTCAGCTTTCATTTTTGTTTGAAAATATTTTGGTTTTTTTTTCAAATTAAGTATTTCAGTAATTTTATCTAAGAAAAGTGCAACAAATCAATGTAAGGACTATTCTAAAACAGTGTCTAAAGATCTATTTAATTTTATAGAACGCCGGTGATGTTTGTTTCTAAAAAAAGAAAATCGGAAAACGAATCACACGCTTTACTAATATACAAATATATAGCGGACATATGTAGATTAGAGGAATCCAGGAGTTTAATTATTGATTCTGTAATTTATGATGGCAAATACAATTTTCCACCATATTTTGTTTATTTGACTTTTATATAAAACCTTCAGAAAAACAGAAGGCCGCTTTAAATAAATGATTCAATGGCTTTGTTTCAAACAAAGATGTTGTTGTTGTTGTTGTTTTTTTTTCTAACTTTAAATAAACATCATGCTTAAAAATTAAAAAAAGAATTTCTTATGCGTTTGATCAGACTTTTCTATTTCAATTTATGAATTAACTGATTTTCTTTTGCAATAACTCGGACATCAACATTTTATTGTTTGACATGTTCAAACATATATAAAAATCCTTGAATGTAAGGTAATCTACGTTACCATAACTGGTTAATTCTTTTACTTTCTTCATTTGTTATTTTTGGTCTGAAAGTAACAGCTTTAAACCAAGTCATAGACTTTGTTTTATTTAATAAAATAAAATTATATATATGATAAAAAAATAATGTCTAAATGGCATTCACGAGGTATTTTACGGCCTTAAGCTATTAGTTTCGTAAAGAAATGGATAAATGAATATGTTTGAGCATAAACCTTTCATAAAATTAGCTCAGTCGATGTACTAATTTCTGCTAATTACATCTAAGATTATTCAAAAGCATAAAAACGAAACATAGCTGTCATTTTATCTTTAATCTTTAAGTTTCATGCTGTTGCCCAGTTAAAGGTGCATACTTTGTAATTTACGTTACCATTTCCTAGGTTTTTTCTGTATTGGTGTATGCTGCATACAAAATATATTTTAAAGTCAAATACTGTTGTATGTTAATATTTGGTGCTTATAATTCATAATAAAATCAACTAAATAAGTACAACAATGAGTTTGTTTATGTAGCTATTATTACTGATGATCATATTTTCCAGAAATATTCAACCCAACATAAATGAAAAAGTTAAAGCTTGGTGTACGGTTTTATTAAAACCTGTGCATAAAATATGTAATGTTACTTTGGCAAATTATTTATCGAAGTGACTATCTGTATCAAGTGCATTTATAGAATATATCAAAATATATTTAATATGACCATTGGTTTATTTTTAGTTAAGGTAACGTAAATTACATTTTGCAAAAGTACTCAATTTGTTTCAGTGGCTGTTCTACAGATAATAATCGAGTTTGAGTGCTGTAACTTTCCCAATTTGTCAGACACATACCTCTTTAACCATCTATGTAATAAAAATTTGATAAAAAACAAGTTCATTTTTTAACATTTTGTTAATTTAAGTTGGGCCTATCTTGTGAGAACAGGTGAAAAACTGAATAACAATTGAGTGATTCTGTCTATGGGCTTATTTCAGTAAAAGTAAAATTGCAGCAATGTGTTGAATGACTCCCATAAAATATGATGCTGAGAAAAAGAAATCATAAAATGTAATGGCATAATTTTTTTTAAATTATCTCATTAAACATAATGCTATGATATCGTTAAAGCTGCATGCCTCAAGATCCATGCTTATTTCCATAACTATTTTGAAAATGTATTTAATAATCAAATATTTTGAAGTAAATAAAGGAAGTAAGTTACACATTGCATACGACATTTACAATTCACGCAAAATACCAAAAAAGAGGTAAATATGCAAAATAGCTCCTACTGCATTAGATATTTTAAAATGCTATATATGTATATAATCACATAACGACATGATAAATCATCAATATTTTGTTTAGGTATGCTACGTTGCACATGAAAAATATAATTCTCTCACTTCTTGGTGTGATATAACATAGCATACTCAAAACAACTAAATGTACCAACATTTTTGGGTAAAACATTTATGACTATTAAGGTTAATAAAGCCGTCCAAGAAACTATCAGATAACCCTCGTTTCGACCATTATTCCAGAAATAATTCTTGTAAAGAAGATGAATATTACCAAAGCTTACATACTATGAAATATAAAATTCATTGAAATTTATATAAAAATAATATATTAGGTTTGTCATAAGTACTCCATTTATGGACCTTTTGGCACTTAATGATCATGATATATGATCATAAGCGCGTGCGAAACATGCCAAATGACGTAAGTAAAAACGTTCACTATTCAAATAGGATTTCATAGTGCGTTTGTCATTTTGTATTGTGTTAATCTGTAAGTCATTTCACTGGAAATTAAACATGTATCTTACTCTTAATATGATCGTGGTTGTTGCTGTTTCCATTGGTTACACTATAGTCGACGCCCAGCATTGCTGCTTGAGTAAGAAATTTTTCGGGAAAGGTTTATTGTCAAGGCAACGCTGAAGCCAGGTAGTAGTACTCCATCGATGTCTCAGTAACCCTCTTTCATATGAATATATTCTGTGTTCATTAAATTATGAAATTAATTAGGGTTTTGGTGTTGGCATAGGACCACAAATGATGAAAAATTAAAGATTTCAGCTCGGGGCATATTTAAAACTTTCAATGTTAATATCAAATCAAAACTATGTTTCTTTTGCATCCAAAACATCATCAGTAAACAATAGGTGTTATGTTTGCAAACCGTTAAAGGTCAGGGGCCATCATATTCACGTACCAATTTTTATTTTTGATCGTGTAAAACAAACTTAAGTTAGATTACTTTCATAATTAACGCATTGCAGTATCGGTAATCGTCTTAGTATTACTCTTGCAAAACCTGCACCACACAGATATAAGAGTTGCTACCTCTTATGCAGGTGCGACCTCAAACCGGAAGTGACGTTAATATATCCCTTTGCACACTATTGATAGTTCATGATAACGATATATCTATCAAATCTTTTGTCTTGTTTTGATTGTGCTTTTCACACAGGAGAGTTTTGAAGTTGATAGCGATTATGACCGGAAGTTTCACACCGTAAATGGAACAAAAATAACAGAAACTGTATCCGGGGAAGTATTGGAGGTGTACCAAGTCATACGTGACTTTAACCATGTATGTTTTTATCGTACTCCTGCTTCAACGAAACATTTTTTGTTTGTTTGAATATTCGAATTTTAATAATTGATAAAAAAAGTGCTGTTTTGTTTCGTTATTTCTTGGCTCAGTGAATTTTAACTCACTACAGTGTTGGAGCAGTACCTCTGGACGCTTGCAGAAACATGATAGCAAAGAAGAAAATATCGCTTGTTTCGCCGATTCGCACACTTTTCACTCATTATGTCGCAATAAATCGGTGTTAAGAGATGAATTAGACGTTTTAAAGTTCATTCCGTTGGGTCATTCAAGCGCCTTGTCTGGTTTATACCGGAATAAGGTATTTAGTGTGATGCTAAAAAATGAATGTGCCATAGCTTCGGCTTCTATGCCACTAAAGCATAATTCTGTTATTTCAAAACTCTTATCTTCGTGTGTATCTATAAAGATGTTGGTAGCAAAATTAGAGTATTTAGTGTAAACTGTTTTATGTTTAATTCTATAGATGAAAAAGTACTACTTTAATGATACCCATTGTGATGTTGAGCACATTGTTGACGAACAGATGCCGGACGGATGCGTGCCGAGTAAGCTCTTTTCTATTGTTGTAGCTTCTAAACGTAAATATAGAACTTGGTGTTCCAAGAACATATTAAGTCGTTCAGATTATCTTCTAAAGGAACTTTAAACGCCAAGAAAAGGAAAAAAAGAAAGAAATGAATAAAATGCCCACAAAAAAGAAACAATAGCTTTCGTCAAAGTTTGTAATTTACCTTTATATAAAAGGTCGGGTTAAAAATATATAAAACCGCTGTTCTGACCATTGACTGATGTCGGAAGAATTAAGTTCTGAACTATAAGTTCTGCTGAATAGCCTGTGTAAATTTCTCGTTACTATTCTTTGAAACAAATTTATCAATTCATAACCATGTAATTTAAGAAACCCTGACTCTTATCGGAACATACACAATGGGCTCTGGAAGCCAATCAATGCAGATAAATGGTTGGTCAGGAAAAGTTCTGAACGAAACATGGACATATGCTACCACTGTAAATGATTGTACGACAGTTTCTTACACAATACTCGGTACTCAACCAGATGGTTAGTATGATAATGTTGTACATGGAATAAAAAACTAAAGTGTTTACAATATTCTATTATTGTGAAACAATAGTCTATTTATAGTTTATAGTCAATTTAACATACATAGAATGGAACATTATGTCAACAAAACGTTTTCTATATGGAATTTATATAAATGATTTGAATAAGATGTATTGTAAATGTGTAACGATAAGATTTACGTTATAAAAATGAGTATATCTATCAAAAATAACAGGAAATCGAAGGCATTGTTTCAGTCTGTACACGATCGTTTGCGCCTAGAGGCGCTGACTGACTTAAGCATTAGTCAAAAATCAAGTGTTTTTGAATATCAATAAAGATATATAAATGCTAGGATTAAATGTCAGACAACCTTTTACATCTGCGGCAAAGCAGTAAACACTATCTTTAGCCATTGATTTGATTAAAGTATATGGGTGTCTATCGCCGACTGGTTAGGGTCGATGACTTCAAACAATTTGCCTCTCAATTCTGTAGGTTCAAGCCGCGCTATGCAGCGAGCTTACAGAACGTCGGTTGTTCTACTCAGGTGCTTGTTTGTGTCTGAAATATGTACAGAGGGGCACCTGCAATCTTCCTCCATCAGTAAAGCTGAAAGATCGCAATATGACCTTTATTGTGTTCGTGCGACGTTAAAAACATCGAAGCTGTTTTCATATCAAAACTCACGTAATAGTTTATTTTTTTACACAATAGGTACAAAGATTTCAGAGACTGCTCAATTTGCTGACATTGTCCAGCAAAGAAATAGTTATGATGGTGTTTTTGACGTCCCTGACCATTGCAAGCATGTAAGAATTTTTTTATTTTAGTCTTACATTAATTCAAATTTAGACCAACTTTATGCCATCACTAATTAAAAAGCAAAATTTTCTTACTATTAGTGCAATTCTAAATTTGTTATTCTCTACAAATGATTATTAAAAATCTATTTCTTACGCATTTGAGTCTGCATACAATAATGCGAATTGTTGTTTAGGTTAAGTATATTTAATGGACGCAAATGTATCTCAAATGATAACTATCATATTATATATTTATATGTTTACCATTGTAACAAATGTACTGATTGGGTTAACCATTGTAACAAAGGTACTGATTGAGTTTACCATTGTTAGCTCACCAGAACCGAAGGTTTAGGGTGAGCTATTAGTATCAAAGGGGGATGCTCTGGCGTCCGTCGTCATACGTCAACAATTTTTTTCTGAAACTGCTAAGCAGATTTACTTCAAATTTGGTTCGTAGCATCCTTGTGACAGTCACATTTGAATTTGCACATGTCATTTTAATTGGCCCCTTTTAGGGGTCAACATAGCTAAAAATAGAAAAACATTTAAACATCTTCTACTACAGAACTAATTGATGGATGATCACCAAACTTTGTCTGTAGCATTCTTAAGTAGTCGTTTATTAAGTTTGCTCATATTAATTTGATTGGCCACTTTAAGGGGTCTCTATGGCTAAAAATAGTAGAACCTATAAACATCTTCTTATAAAATTAATTGATGGATGATCCCCAAACTTTGTCTGTAGCATCTTTGGGTAGTCTTTTATCAAGTTTGCTCATATCAATTTGATTGGCCCCTTTTAGGGGCCGCTAAAGCTAAAAATAGAAAAACCTTTGAACAACATTTCCTACTAAAATAATTGATAGATGATCACCAAACTTCGTAGCATTCTTGCGTAGTCTTGATCATATTAATTTGATTGGCCTCGTTTAAGCTAAAGCTTAAATGCCCCAGGTCATGGCATTTCTTCAAATTATTGTTTAAACATATTCTATGCTCAAATTTGATATAAGAAAATATTGACAATGGATAATTTCCAACACTAAAAAGCAGTTTTTTCTGGTGAGCGACTCAGGGCCATCATGGCCCTCTTGTAAAAAAATGCACTGATTGTGTATACCACAGTAACAAATGTACTGTTTTTGTATACCAATGAAACACATATACTGGTGTCACGGTTCAGAACTGTTCACTGTTTAGGGAAGATGAATGGTAAGCGGCCGGACAGTTCAATTGTTAGAGTCGTGGAACGGTATATCGAGTGTCCCGGGTTCGGGTCTCGGTCAGGATGCACATTTTTCTCACCCTGTGACATTTGTCGCCTAACGGGGGCTGTGACTGAATATAGCTCAGGCTTCAATTTACAATGCTCTGTAACCCTGAGATATTCGGGGACGAATTTCAATATTTCACGGTTCGTAACTGTTCATTTTTTAGGGGAGAAGATGTGCAAACGGCCGGATAGTTCAGTCGGTAGGGCTGCAGATCGGTATTCCGAGCGTCCCGGGTTAGACATTTGCACGTGCTGCACATTTTTCTCACCATGTGACAATGGTGTTTTAGTATAGCATTGTAACAAAAATCACTGTTTAAGATTCTTTGTTTCTTTTTAAGGGGACAAGTGTGGTTGGAAAGTAATGCTGTCATGACATTTGATGTTTAAACATGTATTCGTAAGCCATTAAATTTAAAAAAGAAAAACTTTCTGTTGTTTTATATATCTATACGTACTGTACAGTACATAAGTAGAAAATTACAATTTTTCCACAAGTTGCTTGCACTGTTGATAATCTTATGGTGTAAAAACTGTTTTAACTTAATGAACTCTCTTATCTACGTTCTCACTTGAAAGGGTTGACTTGCAATATTTCTCTTACACCTATTTGTGCCATATTGTCCACCACATTATTTTGTAATTCTTTTGCTTTTCTGTTCAATAATGTGTATACCTTTATAGAAATAATTTAATTTATTATGTATAGTGTAATTTTCTCTACATTATTAACTCAATGATGAAATGATAACGGTATCTGAATCAGTTGACGATGAACGTATGTGAATATGAATCTTACCATGAATACGCCTTGCTGAATGTGAACTTTGCTTTGTAGTGGTTTTAACAAGATAAAAGTAAAGTACATGTACATAAGAAGTACACATCGAAATTTACACATATTTTATATTTCATCGACATCCTTGTTTTAATATACATCTGATAATAACGCTGTAAATAACATTCTTTGAAGAACTATAAAAGAACTTAAAATCTTTATCTTACAATTGCTAACTGTTCACACCACTTCAGTTTGTTGGTGATCAGCAATTTTGCTTGTGGTCATTTAAAATAATTCAGCTGATGTTAAATACAGTAAATCCAACATAAACAAATACACACAAAACATTTATTAAACATTCTTAACCACATAATAGACGTACAAAGCAATACAAAACAAACTCTAACCAAAAAAAAGACATAGGCCAGATTTACAATTTTACATACAACGATTAAAGTTGGCCATGAATATTGTCATATATATTTTTCAAATTGTTGTAAGCACGGAATAAAACTGTAAGACGAATCTGTTTATCTAAAAAGCCACAGTATTTAGGAAGCATGCTAATAACAAAAACGCAAAACAACTTATTACCATGACATCATATAAATCTACCGTGACCTATATAGTTAAAAAAGGACCAGGAGTCACGAAAACATATAACAAAACATTGTACATTTTGTTTGTTGTTGAACACAGTTTCTGCCAACTATCTCGGAGCATTGCCTAACGATGCAAGGTGCCAACAGTTTCATTAAACAATTCCTCAGACAAAAAATTAACCCATTACCTGTGATCAGTGTACATGTAGAGCTAGGCGAGCATGAGCATTTGTGCAATCTACTTTATACAGTTGATACTTAATCATTTGTATTTTTATATTGATAAAGGACTGATCTAAATTCATAGCTTGGAGTTTGGGCAAACTCATTCCTAAAATACGTCAATAAATCCTGCTTGTTTTTTTCTTTTTTTTTTCATTAATATCCCAATCTTATTCTTGTCATTGTTTTGACGAGTCGTAATATATAAATGTATAAGTGTATGCGCACGAAACATTTATTAAGTACAAAGTCAATATAAGTAATAAAATGTCATAATAATATATTGAAAATGTCATAATAATTTATAGAAAATGCCATAATAATCCATGAAAAATGTCATGAAAGCGATGAAAACCCGTCGATAAGTACCGACTTTTGAAGCTGTGTACCGATTATCTGTCGCGTTCTTCTATAAAAAAAACGTTAATTAAAACATCAGTGCAAGAACTTGCAGTAAGTACATCATAACTTTGAGTAAAATATACAATATTGTCGGATCAATCGACATTGAGTTTTCTAAATGAAGCAGACGGTACATCTTCTTCGGATGGTTTTAATTTCGTGTCTATACCATACTTTCCACTTGCAAGATCCAGAAGGTAATCCACTACAGGCTGTTTTGTTATTTCCTCTTTATTATATGCTGTAATTAATATAAAAATATGCATATTATATATGTTATATCAAAGGACAAATGCTTTGTATAAGAATTAGTTCATTTTTACAGCTCTTAGAATATTTTAGTGTTTATTAGTAAGCAATTACAAAATTAAACTGGCAAAGATTGTCGGTACGATTTATTTGAAATATTGAATATTTGACAAAAAATAATTTCAAACACAGAAATAAATTAATACAAATTTAAAATACGAATGTCCATAACTAAAATTATATCACACTTCACCTATAACTTCCTCGATTGTTCCGGAGCATGGTCCGGTGTAGTCGTCTGGTAGATAATCTCTCGGTAGAACACTCATATCTATACTGTCATACAACGATACTAATGATCGTCCGTGTGTCCGGATCTAAACACAAGAAAATATCGTGCAGAAAAAAAGTCATCTATTATAGCGTAGCAAATTCACGTGACATATTGACATTTGGAAAAAGTGCAAGACGAAAAATGATGAAATAGTCCAGTTTCAGGTAATGTTAGTTTTTTTGTGGCTATCATTTAAAATTCTTTATGTTTTTTTTTTATTCAAACTTAGAGGGAAATCAGTTCCCTAAGGTGTTGCTGACTTTGTTCATATTTTCCATACTATATCAGTGGGTAAAATTGTTCGAACAAAGTGCACGCCAATTAGCAAAACCGTAGCCTAATTTGAAACCACGATAAATACGTGTATTTGTTCTTTAGATCATCATTCGTATTTCAGGGTTGTTTTTTTTCTTGTTTATTTTACATGCAATTCTTCTTCTTATGTATGTTGCTATTTGCAACAGGAAAGGGCAGCTAGCCGCTTGAAATGTTAGCGTTCTCGAGCAAAAGTTTGTAGCTTTAAACGTTAATAAGTGGATTTCAGATGCTATACATACATGTACATTGTGTTTTTCCACACATTGCACGAGTGTGGCTGTCTAGCTTTTATCTCGTATACAGGCCATATAATGATAGCACAGAGTATTTTAATCATATTAGTTGTAGATAACATAACTTTTGAGATAGATTATCAAAGCACAGTAACTGTGTAACATGTACTTACCCTGTCTTTTAGTTTTTGCTTGACAAAAGTTTTAACTAATGTTAACACAGCTTCAAATATAGGCGGTAAGTTATAGGCATGCATGTTTTTCACGCGATTTGGATTTGTCTGAAAGAAAACATTACATACAGCAGATTAGACACACGGCAATTTGTTGCAAGTCTTCAACCGTTTTTCCTAGCCCCAAAAAATAGAGATAAATAGTTTATTAAAAAGTGCCATTTCTAAGCTACTGTTATAATAAACTAATACATGTACTCTTTGTCCGAAACTGGGGTTTATCATTACTCCACTTAAAAATAGTCCGTTCACCCTGAACATGCTGAATAGGGCGTTGAAAAAAAATTTATATAGTGAAAACTGTCCATTATTAATTTTGGGGATATTAAGAGGAAAATTTTAAGTCGGTCGACCACCAGTGTAGAGCCTGGTCAGACTATACATATATACAGGTGGCAATGGCTTATCAGCAGGTTAAGTTTTAATATTACATGACGGTTTTTACATAAATTATTTCA